AGATAGATAGATAGATAGATAGATAGATAGATAGATAGATAGATAGATAGATAGATAGATAGATAGATAGATAGATAGATAGATAGATAGATGGGGCTCTTCCAGTACGATTTGACATGACGACTTAAGGATGTCGGTTCCAATAGTCTGACTGGGTTAAGAGCACTAAGCACTAATAGATACATCACTGGATGGTCTGTCATAACAGTTGGAGGACCCGTAACGAAGCGGGAGGTCACCTTTACAATATAGACTGGGCTGGGCGGACATAATACGGCGCGCGGTCTTATACAGCAGTGGGTGGTCTCATATAGCGCAGTGGCGTAGTTAGGGGGCCCAAAGTTAATCCGAAAATAAAATAAAAGAAAGAAAGAATTGTTCTACTGAAAGGAGAATTGTCGTAGTCAGAATGAACGCTGTACATGTACTCAAAGGTGCCTCAAATCCCATCTCCTGCGAATTATCCACTATTTTTCGCAGTTCGCTGTTTTTGCCCCCCCCCTCCCCCCTGTTGGGGTTAGGGTTGTGCGAGTGTGCGTCACGGCGTGTAGTAACTCCGAATACTCTCTACGCTCGAAGCACTGACGGTGTGCAGACGCATAAGCGAATGCTGCCTGCCCCTCGCGTACATGTGAAGCCCGGGTGAAGCATCGTTGATTCTCCCCGCTCCATTTGCTCCTCATCCTCATCCGGCATCTGAAGAAAGTTGCTAAAGGCGCGCTATTCAATCAGTGCATGCGTGCATGCTTCCTCGATCTCACTCTCTCGGTCTCTTTCTTCCTGTCTCTCTCTCCCCCACCCACATCTCTCTTCTTCTTTTTTCAATCTCTCTCTCTCTCTCTCTCTCTGACTAGCTCTCTCTTTCTCGTTTTTTCATCTTATTATTCTTTCCTATCTCTCTATATTTCTTTTGCACGCTCTCTCTTTCGTTGTGTCTCGCTCTTTTAAAAAAAAAAATTTATTTCCTTTTTTCTCCTCCATATTTCTCTCCTCTCGATCTCTCTTTTCTCTTGCTCGCTCTCGTTCTATCGCTCTCTTGGTATCTCGTCTCTCTCACCCCTCACACATGCTCACATGAGACGCACGCATTCATGCGCGAACGCATACCAACAAATCGAATTATCCGTCGAACCATCGCAATTCCATCAGTAATTTCCCGTGCGTGCGTCTTACTTATATATACGGCGACTCAGGACCAATGCGTTCTGCCTCGAGACGTGTAAGACAGCATCGTTCTAAGCGGCACACGTGCATACGTCGCAGTGCGATTTCACGCGGATTCAGACATCGCAGACGAAGGCACACGCACGTCAAGTGCAGCGTGATGCTCAGTGTAAGACCGTCGTTAGAGAGACGCCTGGCACTGGCGCCACTGTTAGTGACAACCGGGAGAGGAGAGCAGGGGGGGGGGGCGAGGAGTAGGAGAGCTAGAAGAGAATTAGTGAGAAGAGGCGAATGAGAGAGCGAGAGGCAGAGAGAGAAAGAGAGAGAGAGAGAGAGGGGGGGGAGTAAGAGAGGCAGTGAAAGAGAGAGAGGGAGAAAGAGGTACATAACGGTTGGCACTAGCGCAGGCGAACGACCCCCAGACATCCTCGCGCCTTTTCTTCGCGTCGAGCCATCAGCGAGCCTCTATGACGTAATATCGTCCGTCATCCTGCTCCGACACGCACGACAGCAGGACGTCTGCCTTTAGCACGCGCACACATGTGTGCGTGAGTGCGCGGCGTGTGTGTGTGTGTGTGTGTAGCGAGAGTCTAGATCTGCTTCTATCCATCTATCTACATAGATAGGTAACCCGGTCGGGAGGCTGCGCCGGAACGCGTGTCGGATTTCACGTGGCGCCCTCTATACACAGCATCGATTTCATCGCGCTGTCTGCGCGGGAGAGTAAAATAGTCCCGAAGCAGAAACCTTCACTCCCACCAACACTAACACCAACCTCCAGCCCAATAAAAGCGAGTGGTGCTCGCTGGGCACAAAGTGGAGTAATTAAATCCAGTGGCAGACGAAATGTGAGAGTTGCGCGCTAAACAGAACGGACGGCGGAGAAGGTTCGTGGTGTTAGAGGAATCATAACCGGTGACGGGACGCAACAGTGTCGGGAGTTTGCGTCTGCGTTAGCGTCAGCGCCTGCGTGGTGTATACGTGTGTTTGGTCGGTTGCGACTGTGGCTTATGGGTATAAAAATTCGGCCGCTACCGTGCGTGGAGCCAAGCTGGACGTCTAAGACTGCCGACAGCAAGTCACTGACTTCAATGGATCCAATTGTCACCGAAACACAGAAAGGTGAGCGACATTGAGAGTTTCATATAGCTCCCTGAATAATGTAAATGTTTTCACTTGATAGATTAACGCTGTCGTACAAAGCTTAAACGCGCAGCGATGGCTTATCATAACAGAAGTTTCTCTGCACTGCGTCGTCGTCTTAAAAACACAAAACAGCAAAACATTGTATTAGCTGGCTTAATACTGCATAGGAGGCTTAACACTACATAAACAGGCTAATACCACTATTATAACATCACTAAGTATAGGCATCTTTGCACGTTAACAACTTAACACTGCATTAAAAGCCCCAAATAGTATTAAAGGTCTAACATTGTCTAAACAGCTTAATTGCCCGCTTTGTTAGCATGGCATAACAGAAGTGGCTTTACACTATAGCTGTTATCGATAGCAGCCATGGAGTTGCTACATAGTCAGTAACTATGCTCATTGATACTGTCTGCTATATAGTTATATGTATGATCGCAGCAGCTACATAATATAGCTACCCATGTAACCAGTGATACTCTCCGCCATGTAGTTTACCCTTCTCTGCCCTCTTTCTTTTTTCCATTCCTGTCGCTCTTTCGCCTTTACTCCCCCTATCCTTTTATCGCTTTCACATTCTTTCTTTTTTCTTTCTTCTTCCATGTCTCTATTTCGACTTGTATATGATAGCAACATCCCTTGTATCGATGGCATTTCACGTCCTTGATCAGTGGCCTTGCCGTCACTTGATCCCACTGACGCATTAGCGCTGTACCTTCATAATCCCATAGCTTCCCTTCACATTCATAAACGCCAGTTAGTTTCAACTGCTTCCACTTTCTTTCCAGATGTCACTTGCCGTCGTGAGCGGTAGTAGCGATTCTCAAGCCGGCTTCGTGGGATGAGATCTCACCACTACTCTGCAGCTTACCTCTACCGCATCTAGTCACGACGTATAGGCAATCGGCGAGGGGAGAAACCCAGCAGCGTGAACTTCACACACGGCATCAAGCGTGGGGAAACCCCCAGCTGCGTGAACATTCAACACACGGCATCAAGCGTGGGGAAACCCCCAGCTGCGTGAACATTCAACACACGGCATCGGGCGTGGGGAAAACCCAGCAGTTTGAACTTTCAACACACGGCATCGGCAAGGGGAAACCCCCAGCAGTTTAAACTTTCAACGCACGACATAGACGTACGTCACCGTACTTTGCTAGTGTTAAGCAGTCGCTCGGGTGGAGTCTAGGTGACCGCAAACCGATTGATTGCTCCCCGTATCTGCAACCGATGCGATCCGGTCGTATACGCGCATACAGTGAGACAGAGACAGAGAGGGATAGATAGAGAGATAGAGGTAGATAGAGAGGGAGAGAGAGAGAGACAGAGAAAGATCGAGAGAGTGAGAGAGAAAGAGACAGAGACGACTCTATACGCACATAGCTCCACCGCACATGTAAGCTAACAGTACCAACATAGTTCATAGGCCTACAGACAAGTTTATACCATCAATAGCTCCACCCCACATGTAAGCTAACAGTACCAACATAAGTTCTATACACCTAGCACGAGCAAGTATACCATGCATGGCTCACAACATGTAAGCTAACAGTACCAACATAGTTCTACCTACAGACACGCTATAACGCATCATAGCTTCCACCCACAGTAAGCTAACAGTACCCAACATAGTTCTAACCCTAGCCAGACAAGTTATACCATCAAGCTCCACCCCATGTAACTAACAGTAGACCCACATAGTTCTAGGCTACAGACACGCTATAGCCATCATAGCTCCCCCCACCAGTAAGCTAACAGTTACCAACATAAGTTTCTAACTATCCAGACAAGTTATACGCACTCATGGCTGCCACCCACGGATGTAAGCTAAACAGTACGCAACTAGTTTCTACCTACAGACTACGTCGCTATAACCATCATAGCTTCCCACCCACTAAAAGTAGGAAATTAAACCAACGGATGTAACGCTAACAGTACCAACATTAGTTTTCTACCTACAAACAAGCTATACATGCATAGCTCCCACACACATGTACTAACAGTATCCACATAGTTCTACCCTACAGACACGCTATACCATCATAGCTCCACCCACATGTAAGCTAACCAGTACCAACATAGTTCCTACCTACATGACACGCTATTACATCATAGCTCCCCACCAGTATGTAAGCTAAACAGTACAACATCGTTCTACCTACAAACAAGCTATACCATCATAGTCCACCACATGTAAGCTAAACAGTAACCAACGATAGTGTCTACCTACAGACACACCGCTACTACCATCATAGCTCCCACCCACATAGTAAGCTAACAGTCCCAACATAGTTCTACCAACAAACAAGCTATACAACATAGCTCCAACCCACATGTAGCCTAACAGTACCAACATAGTTTCTACCTACAGACAACGCTATACCATGCATAGCCTTCCACCCACGAGTAAGCTACAGTAAACCGAACATAGTTCTACTACAAACACAAGCTATACATCATAGCTCCACCCACATGTAAGCTAACGTACCTAACGATAGTTCTACCTACAACAAGCTATACCAATCATAGCTCCACCCAAATGTAAGCTAACAGTACCGAACATAGTTCTACCTACAAAAAAGCTATACCATCATCCCAGCTGCCAACCACTTCTATCAATACCAAAACCTAGTCTACCCCACAGGTAATTTATCATACCGTAACCACTAGTCTATCACTGCAAGCAAGCTAAAGAACACTAAACCATAGTTCCTTACAGACTCATCAATATCTCTATCATTATAACACTCTGAGTGAATAGGTTTAGCATCGATGCGAACGCGCGTAGAGTTAAATGTAACACTCGCAAAGTCTGACATCTGATAATAGTAATATAATATAGATTATAGTGATAATAATAAATGAATAATGCTATAGAATGAGTATCAAGCACAACATTAAATTGCATTAAAAGCATAACATTTAACCTCATCTCATGATGTAGAGCAAATAAAGCGATCAATAAGCAGGCAAGGTAAAGCCTAGCAGAGAAGAGGAAGGTCGCCCCGTACTCTCTGCTCTCTCTCTATATTGCGGCCGAGAGGAATTAAACTCTATGGTGGACGCGATATATTCTGTTGGCAAGGTCTGTTGCTATGCACAGATCTCTCATCTCCTCCTCCCGCCTCTCTCGCTTCATTCTCTCTCTCGTCTCTCATCTCTCAACCTCTGCCATCTCTCGTCTTCGTCTGCGTATCATCCGTCTCTCAGATCTCTCTCAGTCTGTCTCCCTCTCTCCATCTCTCATTCTCTCAGTCCTCTCTCTCTCCTCTCTCTCGTCCTCCTCTCCTCGTCTGTCTGTCTCTCTCCTCTCTCCTCCCGCCTCTCTCTCCCTCTTCCCACCCCTCCCTCTCTCCTTCTCCCTCCACCTCAATCCTCTCCTTTTCTCATCTTCTCTTTTCTCTTGTCTCTCCGGCAAATGATGACGTGAGGGCCGCTAAGATGCTATAAGTTGTATACGCTTGTTCTCTAGTCTGCTCGCTGTGCAACAGCGGTCTCTCCCTCCTCCCATCTCCGTCCTTGCCCCCCTCCTTCTCTCCTCCGTCCTCTTCCTATCTTCTTTCTCTCTGCAAAATTTAGGGTGAGCTCTCCCTATGTGTGTGTATGCGGTCTGTTGACAGGTTTGCCTAGCTGTGCATCTGGGCATTCACAGGAGCGCGATAAACCGCCAGCGCTCCCGGCAGGCGTCTCAGCGGAATCATCGTACCGGCGCTCGTCGCGCCCTCCTGTCTACTTCGGAGCTGGCGCTCTTCGCGCGGCAGCCAGCGGAAGATCAGACGAGCGCCTCTAATAAAACCCAGCGTGAGGTCTAGCGCTGCTTACCGCCCCCTAGGTGCCCACCACTCTACCGATTCTGCTCAACATCAGTAAAACGATCATCGCATAATCGCAGCTCAACAATGGAGCAGCCGTTTTTACCGGAAGATGGTATGGTGGCGCCCCCTTTGCGGCGGTTGTCCAGCCGCGCCAAAGGAGATAGACGGAAATTCGTCAGAAATCATTCGCGCCTCTACAAAATTAGTGTCGGCAGTCCAGTGACAACGCGATGGTGACACGCGGACGACAGTGATGGGCGACACTAGCCTTTCCTCATTCGCACGTTCGCCTTCCCGCCCGCGTAGAGGCGCGCGAGCTCCGACCATGCACGGCAGTTTGGGCGCAGGAGGCAGCATGATGCTCCGTGCCACGTCGTAGCGACGTATACACGTGCTTCAAGTCACAGGTCAAGGTCAGAGTCGACGAGCGCGTGCGTAAGATGCGCGCGTGCTTTAAGGGCAGAGTGGCGTGAGTCGTGCGCAGCCGTGTGAGCATCGTGTAATAAAGGGCCTTCACAGATGACGGTCCTCTACGTTCTGCGGGCTGGGCCTTCTAACTTCACCTAGTTCCGCACGTGCATGGGATACGTGTCTGTGCGTCGGAGGCAGACGTGGACATAACTATCCATAGATAAGCCAGAGGACCGGAGTGAGATAGATACCAAACCAGGGTGCCACACATAGGATAAGGAATCTATACTGGGACGGCGGAGTATCTGACTGAATGCCAGCTAGCAGAGCATTACATGGACGAGTGACGCACGACACAGCGATTGCCCCGACATTGTGGTGTGGATATGCAATCGAATAAGATGCTCACAGCAAGCGGAGGTGATAAGTTCTCTCTCCATTCTCTTCGTTTTCTCGCTTTCCTCTCTCTTCCTCAACTATCTCTTTCTCCTCCATTCTCTTCGCGCCATCCTTCTCTGCCCTCATTGTCTCTGTAACATCGTTTTCAATTCTCTCTACAACAACCTCGCTCTAATTACACTCTCTCGGTCCTTTCATCTCCACCTCGTTGTTCCGTCGCCAAGTTTTAGCTAACGGACCATGGCTAACGCCGGAGCAGACTATCGGCAGTAGCTAACCAGCTAATGAGAAATAAGCGCGACAGTTTTTCAACACGCCCGCGCCACAACAAACACCAGGCTCGATGCGTGATTCCTTGCCTGACACTACAGATTTTCCGCGGCAGCTCCCACGCAAAGCTCTCGCTGCGCGAGGGTCGCGTCGAGCGTCCATTAGCCGTAGCGCTCTCGTAAACGATGCGGTAATTCTCGTGTTAGCCGTCTGCGCCCTCGGTGGCGCGCACAGTGAAGCGATGATTCTAACGACGGCATGCCACGGGATTTTGGAGGTATTTGACTTCACGATGCCCTCAGCTTACGTGCCTTAGCATATGCGGCAGCCGCCGACTTGACATGCGGCATCTGCGCCCGCCTCGGCTCTTACTGTCATCAATCGTCCCTCGCCTGCCTCTAATATGTCCCGCCGCGGAGTGATAACACGCGACTGGACGCACACACCGGTGAGCGATGTATGCCAGAATGTGGCGTGCAACGTACTGGGACGAACACCGATTCTGCATTACGTCCACGACGGCGGCAGACAGACGATCGCCTCGGCGCGCAGACGAGGGCTGAAGCTGTGCGGGTCTACACACGGCCAAAGCGCCGGACCCGCAGCTGTGTTGTCCGACCGCGGACATCTGATGCGACAGAGACAGCGCAGATTTCCCGGATGCTGCAGATTGCGGAGGGAGGAGGGGAGATAGTATCTTGATATGTCTCTAATATGTGAATGAACGCGTAAACGTCTACGTGTGTCGGGCGTCTACTGCCAACCAACCGATCGATATCGCACACAACTGTCAATGATGTGGTTGACGTAAGAGAGAGAGAGAGAGAGAGAGAAGAGAGACATAAAGAGAGAGGAGAGAGAGAAAGAGAGCGAGAGAGAAGAGAGCGAAGAGAGAAAAGAGAGAGAGAGAGAGAGAGTGAGAGAGAGAGAGAGAGAGAAGAGAGAGAGAGAGCGAGAGAGAGAGAAGAGAAAGAGAGCGAGAGGAGAGAGAAGAGCAAAGAGAGAGAGAGAGTGAGAAGAGAGAGAGAGCGAGAGAAGAGAGAGAGAGAGAGAAAGAGATGGAGGAAGAGATAAGACAATGGGACGAAGCGAGATTAGACAGATAAAGGGAAAGGAGCGACGAGAAAAGAGAAAGGGTGACGAGAGAGAGTCTGCCGTGTAGCAACTCACACAGCAGCGTCACGCGGAGCATCTCGGCCTGCTGGCTACTGTCTCTCCTCTCTTCTTCGTCTACTCTTCTCTCTCGTCTCGTCTCTCCTCATCTCTCGTCTTGCTCTCTCGTCTCTTTCTCTGAGGATCGGTCTCTTATCTCTCTCTCATCTCGTCGCTCCATTCTTTCTGTCATCATCTCTCTCTCTCTCTTCTCTCTCTTCATCGGTCAATTCATGAAGGTAAAAACACGGAATTGGTAAAGGCACGTCGATTACGCACGGCGTGTGGAGAAGGCAGCAGGCGAGCTTCAGTACGGCTCTTTTCTCTCATTCTCTCTCTCTCTCTCTCATCTCCGATCCTCTACTCTCTCTCTCTGCTCTTCTCGTCTCGTCTGCCTCTCCTCAGATGTCTGGTCTCGTCTTTCCGCAGCGCGGCGCGGGGGTCGAAAGTCTCACTCTCATTTCTCTCTCGCGGCGCGGCCTCATTCTACGTTTTACACTAAACACGCCGCGGCGAGTATGCCGCGCGACAGCACGCACCGACCGCTATCGTCTGCTGTCGGTTGCTGTTGTCTGCTGTCGACGATCATTCGCAGCGGAGAGACAAACAGGAGGAGCCCACTCAGCGAGTCTAGAGATATGAAACGGCAGGAGTGGGCCTCTAAACGCCACCTGCACGAGGCAATGAAGCCTTGTTCTGCATCGCCTTTCTCTTCCCGTCCTCATCATCAAGTAGTCCGCCTGCCTCAGCTCCGGCAACGGCCGCGAGCCGCAATCTTTACGAAGGTGAAGTCGCCTAACACCCGTTACTGAAGGCAGCGACCATTACGAGAGTGAAGCCCTAACCCCGCACTGAAGCCGCGACTTACGAGGTGAAGCCCTAACAGCCCGCACTGAGCCAGCGACGCATTACGAGGTGAAGCCTAACTCACCGGCCGCACTGGAAAGGCCGCGATTTACGAGGTGCAGGCCCTAGCACACGACGGAGCGTGCAGCCTCTCTCGATCATGCAGAACAGGAAAACCAACAGGCGACGCTTCTCGTTGTGAAACAGGCCTCCAAGGGAGATTTTCGCGTTGTCTCGACAACACTCGCTCTCGAAGTATCGAATCAGCGCGTGTGACACTAGAAAGAGACGCATGTGTTGGCGAAATTCGGCTCTTGTTGCGTGACGGTTGTCAGCCTGCATAGAGATGCAAACCTGCATTTCGCTCACGTCTGCCGCGCCATCTTTAACATGGTCACATAGCTTCCTGCTGGTACGCCCATTCGTTGTGGAAAACCTCACGAGCGTCGGCGATGTCAGCAAAAAACTTTACCGGGAAAAAAAACTATGAAGCGAGTTACTGTTGCGAATTAAGTGCACCGAGGAGCCTCTAGATGCGCGTGCGCGGTTTGACGCGGAAAGAAAGCAGCATTGCTCAACGACGTCATCCGCGATTCTGACGTCAGCGCCGACGGATGTGTCCATCTACGTAAACAGAAAGAAGGCGAGGAGGGTCTTTCTTTTTTGTAAAAATTACCCTCCAACAACATATTTTATAAGCCAACTGAGAGGCTTGGCGGCTTGATAGGGACATCAGGTGTTGGGGCCATCGGCGAGGGAGTCGTGGTGAGTGTGACACAGTGAATAGAGGTACTTTCTTGTGATAGACGTATTTCTAGTCGTGTTTTTGCTCTGGGCCGGCAGACGATATGTATTCCATAATAGCATCCTCATTTTTTTAGCCACTCAAGCGTTTCGTGGCAAATGCGCACAAGGCGGAAAGTAAACAATCTACAAGACTAAACACGACAGTAACAACACCAGCATCAAACACATAACGAACATCGGATGACAACGACGACAACCGGAAACGACCACACGACGTACAACGACAGCAGTGCAACGACGATAGCAAGCAACCAACAACAGACAGCAGCAAGCAGGCAGCAAACAAACAAGGAACAACTTATACAACAACATCAACAAACAACAAACACGAAGACAAGTGGACGTCCGACGGGACGATGACGACGACGACGACGGCGATGACGATGACGGTGATGAGTGACGATAGTAACAATAAAACACATCGCAACGAGCCTATAGAGAACGTCGTTCCCGTGTTAATTATATATAGTATATTATAGTATATATTATATGGCGCGACGCTGTTTTCCCATCCACGCAACGTTGTTATCTCGTCATCAGCGTGTTACTACGCGCTATGTTTTCGATAAATTAATTTATTTAGAATGTATGACGCTGATACGTTACGAGGCAGACTCTGTGGTGACGCCGCGCGCATTGCGGCATATAGCGCAAATATTCAGTGAATTACGGTTCGTCCATCGAAGCTCAGTATATTGCATTAATTAGGGGGGGGGAGAGAGAGAAGGAGAGCAAAAAGAGAGAGCAAGAGAGAGAGAATCGAAAAATCAGAGAGAGAGAGAGAGAGAGCAGAGAGGAGAGAGAGAGGAGAGAAAGAAGAGTGAGAGAGGGAAGAGAGAGTGAGCGTGATTGCGTGGTGCAGGCGCGAGAGAGAGGAAAGAGAGCGAGAGAGAGGTAAAGGGGAAAAAAGGAAAAAGGAGAAAATAAGTTCTCCAGCTGGGACTCGAAACCGGAATCCCGGTGTAGAAGACGGATGTTCTAGCGATTAGGCCACTGCGCCGTTAAGGATATACACTATGGATTTACACGTACGTGAGGTTGATCTGTACGCAGGTTGATCAACACGCCTTCTATTGATGAATAGAATTTTTATTAATTTTTAACTTTTTAACTTTTTTAAATTTTTGTTTCAGCCAGAACCACTTCCCAGACGTGCTGATTCTGAAAATATCTTTAGTTTTCCTCTAGGCTGCGGAGTTTTCTAGCTATGCGAGTACGGACTAATTCGGCTGTACAACTTTATATATATAGAAGAATACATATACATAAATATATACTCTGGCGGGAGAAATGTAAATTCAATCCAATGCAATTTCATCTAAACACGTATTTAAGTAAAGGCAACGTATATGATTAGATAAGTGCGACTACATCGTAGCTAACATTACGAGCCAGCTAGCAATAGCAATATATTGATAGACTCCTAATAGAATTACTTATATGTACGGGAAGATATCCAAATGCAAATGAAATAAAATTCTAAAGACATCAACTAACCTAATCTCCTACACATCTAAGAAACACAAGAACGAAAAATACCATTATGCAAACTAATACTTGTCATACCGCCACGTAATAATAGTATCTCAAATAAATAAGAAAAAAATCTATTTGAAAGTTTTTGGGTAATATAGATAATCAGTATCAACCTTACGAGGCGCGTAATTATAATTATAATTCAAGGCGGCGTCGCGTTGCATGTCATTCATTGGTTTTATTCATTCTTACAGATTTTATTACCAAGCGCGCACGATAATAAAGCAACACTAAAAGATAATTCTCGTGTATTCTTTCTTCGTAGATCAGCCAACGGAGAGTGGTCGGTCGCCATTGGTCGTGCGGCAACGATCAAAAAAAAAATCCTGCCGTATCTGCAAATGGCTGAGGACGTACGGACTGGCCATCTTAGCAGTATGCTACTTCATCCTAGTCCTGCCCACGGGTAAGCTATGCAATCATATCCGCACCCACATGTAAGCTAACAGTACCAACATAGTTCTACCTACAGACAAGTTATACCATCATAGTGTGTGTGTGTGTGTGTGTGTGTGTGTGTGTGTGTGTGTGTGTGTGTGTGTGTGTGTGTGTATACAATGAGGGCGGGGAGTGTGCATGCATGCATAGATGAGACACGCGTGAAGCTCTCCCTCCTGGCAGCAGCAGCAGCAGCAGCCGTGCAGGGATGCTGCTGCAGGGATGCTGCGCGTATGCATGCACGCGCGCGCCATTGTCCGCATGTACTGTATATACCCGCTACGGTCGTAGCAGCAGCAGCAGCAGCAGCAGCGGCGGATTCAGCATAATCAATGAAGCTACGGATGAGGTGAAGCCATGCTCAATGTAAAACGCGTTCTCGCACGAGTCGAGCACATCTTGTGTAGGCGTATTCAAACATATATACACGCACACGTACGCAAACATATATAGGGAAGGTGATTCTTACCCGTGATCGTATTAGTGGTTACGCGTGAGTGTTAGATTACACCCTTTGCTAACGTCTATCAAATACAGATTATAAAAAACATAAAAACTATTATATACGTATTCAGTCATCCTCTTTAATTATACTGCATTAACTATGTATAAGCCCATAGCGGGGCAAACGCGTACAGTAGATGTGCGCGAGTAACATCACAACTTATAAGGTTATTGCTGTCTCGTAGCTTTCTCTAACCAATCTAGTATATCGTAACTGTCTCTTTCTGACTCTCTGTCCGATCTCTCTCTCTAGTCGAACACGCGGTTATATACTCACATAGTTAGACACGCCCACCTATTGTTTTTAGTCACTCCGTTCTACGCTACCGTCTGTAATTGGCTAATTCGATCACTGTCTAGTGCAGGGTTATAACTTTACACAGCTGGCCTGTATACCGAAATAGAACAATAGCTTATTCCTGTATATTTACTTCTATGTCTTTCGACGGTATTACATTATTCTCCCCCCCCCCATTAGAAAAAGTTGTAAGCCACAGCTATGCGGCGAACAACGTCATCAGAAAAAATTTGTTGCGTGTACTTTAATACGTATTTTATATTTATTTTTTTTATTTTTTTATTATATCAATTTTTATGTTATGTTATATTATTTTGTATTTGTCTTTTTTCAGTGCTCCCATCACCCATATAACTTCCTTTAACTATCTTAACTAAATTTGGCCTTAACTAAGGAAAGAGATCTTTATTTTATTTTATTTTTATATATATATTTATTTTTTTAAATTAAAAAAAAAAATAATCTGGCGTCGTGGCCGTCGTCTCGTGGTCCTCCGTGGTCCGTCGTCGTGGGGTGGTTGCTGGTCATCCTCGTGGTGAGGGGTCGTCGCCGTGGGGGTCGTCGCTGTGGTGGTGATGGTGCTGATCATCTTCGTGTGGGAGTCGTCGTGGGGGTCGTGCTGTCCATGCGTCGTGGGTAGTCTTACCTGGTCCTCGAATGCGTACGCCCAATACGGAGCGCCTGCTCGATTGGGACTATTTTGTATCGCGCCACGACCATCACTGATGTGTACGACGGTAAATCCCGGGTTGAGTCGGCGAACTGATGACATCATTGAAAAAAGACGTCCAGTCAGCTCACTATACATGGTTTTTCCTGCATGGAACAGCTGCCGTAAATGAGGCGAGGCATCGGCGACGGAGGTCCAATGTTGTCGTCGTGAGTTGGTCCGTCCGCTGCTGCACTGCCGCCCAGTCAATAGCGTTGACAGGGTGGCGATGGCGCCTGTGTGGTGGTGGATATATACACGCATACGTAGGCAAACATATATATACACGCACGACCGTAGCGCAACATATATACACGCACACGTACGCAAACATATATACACGCACACGTACGCAAACATATATACACGCACACGTATTCAAACATATATACACGCACACGTACGCAAACATATATACACGCACACGTACACGCACACGTACACGTACGCAAACATATATACACGCACACGTATTCAAACATATATTACACGCACACGTACGCAAACATATATACAACGCACACGTACACGTGCACGCACACGTACACGTGCACAGCACACGTACACGTACACGTACACGCAACACGGTACGCGTACGCGTACGACGTACACGTACAACGTACACGTACACGTACGTACACGTACAACGCACACGCACACACGTACATCGTACACGTCACCGTACGTCGCAGCTGACGCAACACGCACACGGCACACGCACACGCAGCACGCACACGCCACAACGCACACGTTCACACACTAACCGCACACACACAACACACACACACCACACACACACAACACACTCCGCGCGCGCGGCGCGCCAGCGGCTACACGTACAGATCACGATCGTACACGTACACGTACACACACACGTACACAGCACACGTACACGTACACGCACTAGCGTACACGTACACGTCACGGTACAGCGTACACGCAGCACGTACCACGGCACACGTACACGCCACACGTACACGTACACCGGACACGTACGTACGCTACGCGTACACGCACCGTAGCTCGTACACGTCACGTACTCGTACACGTACATCGTACAGCGTACACGCACACGGTACACGTTACACGACAGTCACGGCACACGCAACGTACAGTACACGCAACAGCGACACGTACAACCGTAACATGTCGTACACGTACACGTACACGTTCACGTACACCGTAGCACGTCACGTACCGTACACACTTACACGCGACACGTACGACGTACACGCACACCGTCAGTGCACTGTACGACGTACACGCACACGTACACGTGCACGGACGCGTACACGACTATCACGTACGCGTACAGTACACGCGTACACGCGCGTACACGTACACGTACACGCACACGTAAACGTACACGTACGCGTACACGTAGCACGTAACGTACACTCACACTACACGTACACGTACACGCACACGTACACGTACTCGGCACGAACGACACGAGTGTCGGCACACGTACACGTACGCGTACGCGTTTTGTTCTCTCCACATCTCCACGCGCACGCAGTCTAAATTTTGTTTGCATATTTTGTCTCTCGTGCTCGACGGAGGGGAGGGTAGCTGTTTATTTACCAAGAGGTTTTCTGATAATACATTCCGTATTTTATAAGGTATAAGGCTCCGTTCAGCCAACGAGACCTCGTATTTATGAATACGGTATATTTTGCAAATACTCGAATCTGAGACAAATACGCGGCTCGAGCGTTGCACAAGGCGCTGATTCCGCGGCTCCCAGAAATACGGGTTATTTGCGAGCTGCAAGCCTTGCTTTAAACGAATCAAGGCGAAGCAATGCGGAAATAAACAATGCAATGCGCAGACCAACTGCGGCGATAAAATTACGTTAGAACTGGTCCGCGCCTGCGACAGTTGCACTCGCGGTTACACTTGGAACTGTCGAGGCGCGGACGCAGTCTTATAAAATAGCGCTTCAGAAATCCGCGTATTTAGCGGGTTCAAAACCGACGCGGAAATCGGCGTCGCAACAGAGTCCTCAAGCACGGCTAAATTATTAGGAGTCTGGGAAGCCGCGTATTTACGATCAAATCCGGATTGTTTAGATACGCGTATTTCTGGACTGTCGCATTTTGCCTGCGTGTGAACGCTAAATACCGGATTTCTTGGACTACGTGTGTGAACGCGGCTGTATCTTCGAGTGTATAATATAGATATAGGATATATAATATATATATATATATATATATATATATATATATATATATATATATTATAATATTCAAATAGCCGCGTTCACACGTAGCAAGAAATCCGGTATTTATGCGTTCAGACGACGAGGCAAAATGCGCGGTAATCTTAAACAGATTCGGTATTTGATGTAATACGCGCTTCCCAGACCCGCTAATAATTTGCTGTTGGCTTGAGAAAATACGGATCTCTTGTGAACCGCGCATTTCTGGTGTGAACGCAAATACCGTATTTCTGAGCGCGTATTTTTGGATGGTCCGCACTCGACAGTTCCAGTGTAACGCGAGGGTGGAACTGTCGAGGCGCGGAGCGGCTATCTAACGTAATTTATCGGCGGGAGTTGGTGCGCATTGCATTGTTTATTCGCATTGTTCGCTGAATTGTTAACGCGAGCAGCTCGCAGCTGACAAAAACTACGCGTAATTTCTGAGCCGGGCGGAATGCAGCGTGTGAACGCTCAGCCGCGTATTTGTCTCAGATTCGGTATTTCGGGCAATACCGTATTTGCATAAATAGCGAGGTCTCGTGTGAACGAGGCTTAATAATTATACACTCGCTGGTAACTATTAGCTCTTATTATTACGTATAACACGCGATGGCGTGCGTGGCGTGCGTGAAGTGCGCGCGCGTAACACACCCACGCGTTCTTCGGCTTGTTTATCCCCCCGGCCGCCCGCAATTGAACGCTTTGGGCATGTCTCTGCTCATTTCCCCTTCGCCACCTGGCCGCGATGCACGCGTATAATCAGCTAATGGCGAGTGAATTACTCTCAGCTCGTCGTACAATAGCCTGAGTAGACAAGGCGCGCTGCAGTTTTTCTCCTCCTCATCATCAATCCTGCCGCGCTAAAGGGCAGGCGTTCCGTTTTGATCTCTCTCTCCTCACCGAGTGTGAGCGAGCGTATTATTGAAGTTTCAATCAGCAGTCGGCAGCGTTCATCAATAACACACCTATCGACGCTGCTTGCTAAATAGCGCACACACGAAGAGAGGGAGAGAGAGATAAAGAGAAGCGAGAGAGAGAGAGAGATAGAGAGAGAGAGAGAGAGAGGAGAGAGAGAGAGAGGAGAGAAGAGAGAGAGAGAGAACGAGAGAGAGAGAGAGAGAGAGAGAGAGATAAATAAATAGGTAGGTAGATAAAAGTAGCTAGATAATAGATGCGAATGGATGGCTGGATTTGGATGGATGGGTGGATGGATGATGGATGGATGGATGGAATGGATGGATGGATGGATGGATGGATAGATGATGAATGTGGATGATGGATGATTTGGATAGATGGTGGATGGGTGGATGGATGGATGGATGATGGATGGATGGATGGATGGAAGAGATAGATGGATGGATGGATGGGTGGATGGATGATGGATGGATGGTGGATGATGGATGGATAGATAGATAGATAGATAGGATAAATAGATAAATAGATAGATACCGATCAGATAGATAGATAGATCGATAGATCGTAAAAAAGATGGATAGTATAAGATAGATTAGATAGATAGATAGATAGATAGATCAGATAGATAGATGATAGATAGATAGTAGATAGATAGATAGATATAGAATAGATAGATTAGATAGATAGATAGATAGATCAGATGATATAGAATAGATAGTAGATAATAGATAGATAGATATGATAGATAGATAGATAGATAGATCAGATGATATAGAATAGATAG